CAACGAACCACGGAATTTTTAAGGGATTTTTAGAAACAATTCAAGCGGTTGAGGACTCTAGCTGTGGCAAGGAAATCCAGGACTCGAGACATCTACTGCAGGAATATCCACTCTTCTTCACCGCTAGACAATAGACAGTAAATAATGTTGTAGATCTATATCAATTTGTGAATACTAGAGATAATTATCACAGATTTAACTATTTTGTAAATTTATTTATGACTATCTTTCTAACCTGGAAGGATCAGGTTCCTAATAGCCGTGATATCGCGTTTTGTTTTGCTGAAATAAATAAATAAATAATAACCTAAATAAATACTATTATATATATAATTAGTTAAAAATAAAGAAAAAATAGAAAATATATAACATATTAAAAAAAGGTATCTCCTTATCGTGCAACTGAAAGTTGCTGATGGCTTGCGCCAAATACCCATTCTTGATTAATCAAGAAAAGCTAACCACGGAAGCGTTTCGGGCTGTTGGCCGTCATCAGCGTGGTTCACATATATAATATATATGACATAATAAAAATATGATTTTTATATATTATTCATAAAATAATTAAAATTCTATAATCACAGAGTTAAATTTTAAAATGAAAAGGAATCCTTAACAAAAGGAATACAACCTAATTTTTTTTAAATTGTGAATAGATAATAACATTGTTAGTTGTATGTATGCAAAAAAACTGTTTGCTTTAAAAAATAATCAAAAAATAAATACAATTTTGGGAAAAAGTTATCATTCATTTCCATCCACGACTGCATGAATTGGTAACGTAACTAGAATATACGTCTTTTTTATGACATATATATATATATTTATATATGAAAATAAAAAAGCCCAAATGTAAAATTGTACTGGGATCATGTGGATAAATTGGTAAAAAAAGACGTATACTGATCGTTACACTAAAGTTCCTGATGACTTGGAATAAGTTAAAAGTCGTTCAGACTTTCTTGTATTAAAGCCACAAGAACTGACTTCCATCAAATTCTACTATTCTTCGTACAAGGTTCACATATAAATTGTCTCTTTCAAGACGAGTAATCCTTTCAATATATTATAACACGAATAAAATTATAAAGGATGAGTTTCTTTATTGGTAATAACCGTTTCGAGCTTTCGGGCGCAAGCAGCCCTTCTACAGGAATAAAAGGAAGCAAGTGAATCAGACATGTATATATACATCTATGTGAGCTATATTTTTTGCATACCTAGGATTATTTATAAAATTTTTATTAAGTAATAACTATTGCTATGTTACTATTTTTATTACTTAATAAAAATTTTATAAATAATCCTAGGTATGCAAAAAATATAGCTCATATAGATGTATATATACATGTCTGATTCACTTGTTTTCTCTTATTCCTGTAGAAGGGCTGCTTGCGCCCGAAAGCTCGAAACGGTTATTCCCAATAAAGAAACTTATCCATTATAATTTTATTCGTGTTATAAATTGTCTCTTTAAGAACTCTACAGGTTTCTTTGTTTTAATTAAAGGCTATACGTAGAATACAATTACATAAAAATGAATATCTTGATCTGTGTTGAAAAAAAAAACTTTTTTTTTTTCAAAATATATAAGATATTTATCCCTCTCTGTAAATTTATCGCACAAAAATGGATAAAACTTCAGGAAGTTGTATCTTCTAGTATGTTTATCGGGATTCAGATAATACTCGGAATGATAATTGATACGAATTGACCTTTATTGAAGACACAGGATATAACTAAGTGTGAACAAATTGCCTCTGTCTGCTCATAAAATGACCGGCGACATCGAAATAAGAAACTTCCTTCGGTTTTATACATGAGTGTTTAGTGCAATAAATTGATAGAGGGGAGAAATCCTTCGAAAATTATTATCAATAAAATATTATTTTAAAAGATCCAAGTATGCTATATATGTTTACCTGTATTGATAAAGACATTCAAGCTTTCGAGAAAAGTCGCTCTTCTACCGGCTTATCACGATATGATGGGGTAAAATATGAATTATGTACAAAATAAATATTTTGGCGTGTGAAATCCCGAGCATTATATTATAAAAAAAAGAATTTCTACTTTTTTAAAATTATTTAGATAAGCTTTTATTTGCTTGTAGAGTAATTATTGATCATTTGTTTGATCTTGGAATCCATGAGTATTTGATATTGCAGTCGTGGAGCAGAATATTAATGAAATAAAGTTTGAATAACAATTTGCTTTAATTATGTTAATGAAGAATACATAATTCGAGAAAAGTACTACCCGACTTAAGGTGAGTAGAATAAGGAAAACAAAATATTATTTTCATAATTACAAACGGTTTGAGCCGGCCAACCGGGAAATGGAAATATCTTTATTTACGGGGCTGCTAGCCAAAATAAATGATTTTTGAGCCCCAATGGCCGCGTAAAGCGGAATATATAAAACCACTATAACAAGGCTGGAGAGGCTAGGGACAGGATCTCCGTCAGGGAATAGGCAGGTTAGGCCGGATTGGGTCCGCGGAGGTCAGGAGGCAGGAAGAGAGGACTAGAACTTTGTAGCTCTAGCTCTGGCAGTTGGGCAAGACATTGATCTTGCCTCGTGGTCGGCAGAGAGGCCCTTGGCTAAGCAGTTGGCGCATTTGACCGTGCGCGGGTTGGCGAGAGTTGGACAGCTTCAGGCCAACAGGAAACAATAACAATAGGTTATATACAGAGTAATTTGATCTATGAAATATAATTTGAAATGAAATAAAATATTTTTATATAACATATATATACTTGTATATACACGCATAGAGACATAAACTAAAGAAGTTGTGCCTTTTAGCGTGTATATCGGGATTCAGACAATAACTCTGAAAGATATTTGATATAAGTGACCTTTAGTAAATTAAATTTTATTGCCATCTATCGTTAAAATGTTACACAAATAAATTTACTGGCAATGCGTTTCTTTTAAATAGCATCAAATATTATCTCTACAGACCTTACTGCAATGATATGAATTATTGAATAAGAGGGCTTGGCTCATCAGTAGTGAACCCTCTCAGCGGTTTCGCCAAATTAATCTCTAGACCGCTCTACTATTGTATTGGACTGGTTTTGTTATATACCCTGCATTCGAGCCCTCTCATTCAATAATTCATATCATTGCAGTAAGGTCTGTAGAGATAATATTTGATGCTATTTAAAAGAAACGCATTGCCAGTAAATTTATTTGTGTAAAATAAGTGACCTTTATTATAGACAGACGAAATAACCAAATTTGACCAAAATTGCCTCTGTCTTCTTCTTAAAAAAAAAAACAGATGATCGGCGACATGAGTTTCGTCTTTGAGTGCATATATATTATATTTAAAAAAAAATTCCGGCTTGATTTTTGATCATGTTGAAGATTATGGTATCGAAATGCAGTCGTGGTTGAAATCTTTAAAGTATGATAATGAAAAATAGTTTTGATGAATAATTTAATTGAGTTGAAGAGGAATATATATATAAAAGAACATAATTTGATAAAAGTACTGTCTGGCTTAAGGCGAGTAGAATAAGAAAAACAAAAGATTATTTACATAATATACAAAAGTTTTGAGCCGGCCAACGGGAAACAACAATGAGTTTTTATAGGGGAAGCGTGACCTCTTTCGGTCGATTTAACAGAGTATTTGTATCTATGAAATATATTTTTAAATAAAATAATATTTTAATATAACATATATTTATATGATATAAGTTGTTGTAAGATAATTTTATTGTATTAAAAGAGGCATCTCTCCCTTCAAATATGAATTAAAGTAATACATTTTGTAATGAAACAATCTAAAACTATCATTGTAGATCTTTTTATCACCATCTTCAAGTATTTTACTAGATTGATAAACAAAATATATTGTTTAATTCATAAATAGATAGTAATGTTTTTTGGTGCGTTTATACATATATATGTCATAATATATACTCTTCCAGGAATAATAAAGCAAACCTAGAGCCAGCCCAGAGAGAGACGGGATGTAAAGTCCGGTCACTTGAGACAGCAGCGACATTCCAAGGGGCGGCAAATGGGGCCAGTCCGTCAACACCTTGGGACTTTTAAGACAGTTGGTGATTGTGTGCGATACGAACGGCCGGCCTCTCAGCGGTGGCAGGCCCGGCTGTCCCCCCCCCCCCCCTCTCTCTCTGGTTGCCTGGGTTCCTTCTCCAACTTGTGGTGTGATTATTTCTCTTTCCCCACCTTATCATATTATTATACCACATATATATTATATATATATATAAGAATGAGATTTTCTGTTGTTATTTGATTGTTATTTATAAAGAATTATTAGCTGTTTCTTGATTTTGGTATACATGAGTATGTGTGTTACGATATTGTTTTGCAGTCGTGGCAAAAATAATAACATGATTTGATAAAAGTAATGCCTGACTTAAGGCGTAAGAATAAAAAAAAAGAAAAACTTATTTACATAATATACAAAAGTTTTGAGCCGGCCAGCGGGATACAACAACAATGAGTTTTTATATGGGGAGAGTGACCTCTGGCGGTCGATATATCAGAGTATTTGAATCTATGAAATTATAATTTTAAATTAAATAATATTTTAATATAACATATATACAGTCTGTATATATCTAAAAACGGTTAGTTCGCCACCAAACAGATCGAAATTTTGTTGCTCGCGCTGAAATTAAAATGTCGACATTCCACAGGCCATTTAAATTGATGTGTTTTCAATGTTGTGAAAAAAGGGGGAATTTGGAAAGATAAAAAAATCCAGGCATCCAATCCATAACGCCATTTTACCAGATGGGCGGCGGACCATTAGAAGTCTGGGAACGGTCATGTGTTTCCAGCATGATGGATTCAATTTGTCCTTAGCTACTTACATAGCGGTGGTCAACTGGAGATGTGCACACTATGTTTGACTATTGCAACGTTTTCACATTGACTTGTGCCGTTTAGAAATGTGCTACTGATGTGTGAAGTTTTCACATTGATGTACCATAAGACTATGTGTCACGTTTTGACGGAAAAAATGGGAATCGAACCCACAGTGTTCAGCTTATTGAGCAGATGCCATGTCCACTAGGCTACCCTATTTTATTTTTCCGTTTATCATTACTCTTCACAATTCACCCTTTCATACCTCATCCAAAAGGTTATAAATAATCGTTATTTCTCCTTGAAATAAATTTGGAATTTTCGTTGAAAGGAAACACATGCGAGATAGTTTTCAAATGTCGCTTTACAAATATTCTTGTTATAAAAGTTTAAGTTATTAAGTTTACTAGTTAAAATATGCAAATATAGTTAAATGTTGGTTTTAAATGCATAGAAAGCAGTACCTATACACCTCCGTTTACTCTCAACACAAGAACATCGCCAGTAAAGTAACTTCTAACCAAGAATATAAATCGTAATCCATGAACTGGAAAAACATTTCAATTTAATAATCAATAAATCAATTATTGATTTCCCAAAGAAGATCATTCCATTAAAAAGATTGCGTTAGACTTTAGAAATATTTGACCTTTGAAAATTTGGAAGATGGGATTGCATTTTTAAAAAGTTCTTTTAATTCAAACTGTCATAGCTGTTGTGATTTGATGACAATTGATCTCTTATGGAGATGAAATTAAAGAATTTTTCCGTATTAAATATAGTTATATTTATTATAGACGATATCATTTCAATTGAAGGAAATATTTTTCAAAATAACTTATTTTAAAAGTTATGTTTATCAAATATTTTAGAATAAAATTTTTCATTTTTTTGAATCGTATATAGAATTTTGTCACAGTAATGAAGGTGACGAGTTTTTTTGGGTAGAATAAAATAATAATTTATTAGATGACTTTAAATAGTTAAATAGTTTGAGGGATAAAAAGAAATAGTTAAATGGATAAAAATAATGGTAAATTAAGGAAGTAATGTCAGAGACCCAAACGGCTGGCGATCGGCTACACCCCTCAAGATGGCGACTAATGTTTACAAATTAACCGCCTAGCATGCCCGCCATCTATCGGAGCTTAGGTACATAACACTTGCCAAGCTGACAGCGCCCGCCATCTATCGGATCTTAGGTATATAACATTCGCCAACCTGTCGATGTATTATTTACAGTTACAAGCTATGTACATTTTTGGTTATGACAATATATATATATGTAGTAATGTGTTTATCCTGTCGGATGACTGTGGTTGGTTAAATGCAGTCGCGATGGCCACAATGATCAGAGTGGTTTCAGGCGTCAATGAATTACACAAAAGTACGCGACATGTTGGATGTCACTCAGAGAAATGGCAGCCGGACACCGGTCGAGGAGATCTGATCTATTATAGTGTCCGAGAGGGACTGGTCTATTTCTGAGCAAGACTGGGCACATCTGGTAATTCGACATATTTTTTCGGATCGACGGTGTAATCGGAGAGTTTTCTTCTGTATGGCGCCGACTGTCACTCAATCTAATTTTATTATTTCGTTTTGGTATTACATAATGGTTAAATTGGCGAGTTGAATTGTGTCTTCAGTTTTGGTTCTTATACTATAGCTATATTACATATGGGATATTAAGTATATATTTGAATATTTTGAAGATTGAGAAATCCATAATTAAAATTATATTCAACAAAGATGCATATATTGAATTTATAATTATTTTATTGTTTGAATATTTCGAGGGGCAACTCGCCTCTCTTTATCGAGGATGTTTGTGTTTTTCACTAAAGCATGCGAGCACGCGTACACCACTCTCGTTCTACAAGGCCATATAAATCAAAGATACAATTCTTTCATTGGCCTTGTAGAACGAGAGTGGTGTACGCGTGCTAACATGTCTTAGTGAAAACACAAACATCCTCGATAAAGAGAGGCGAGTTGCCCCTCGAAATATTGGAACAATAAAATAATTATAAATACAATATATGCATCTTTTTTGAATATTTAAATATATTACAACATATATGTTTTATTAAAATATTATTTCATTTTTAAAAATATATTTCATAGATTCAATAATTGTTCAAATTGACCGCCAGAGGTCACTCTTCCCCTATAAAAATTCATTGTTTTTTTTATCCCAATGGCCGGCTCAAAACTTTTGTACAGTATGTAAATAAGCTTTTCCTTTTTTATTCTTGCGCCTTAAGCCAGGCAGAACTTTTACCAAATTATGTCTTTTATACATTCCTTAGCTCAATTAAAGAAACCTCTGATCAAGACTATTATTATTATTGCCACGACTGCATTTCCATAATCATAATCCTCAACATGATCAAAAATTCAAGCAGAAAATCTCTTTTCTTTATATAAGATATATATTTTCTTAAATATAATTAAAATATAACATGTTTAGATAGAAACAATATCAATGGTATTCATACTAAAAATGTTTAAAACAATCAACAAGAAGTTGTGTACTATTCCAAACAATGTTTAATGTTACAAAGCTGGTTACTCATGTTAGTTCATATTGAATGGAAAATGTGATAATAAATGAAAAATTCATCTGTATAAAACAATTAGTAAACTCGAAATTATTATAGAAGGCGTATGGTTCTTTTTAAAAATTAAACAATATTTACTGCTCTTACTGCAATGGAAAAATTAATCAGCCAAGCCCTCCCAGGCGAAACCGCTAGGAGGGTTCACCACTGATGAGCCATTAATTTTTTCATTGCAGTAATGGCAATAGTTATTGTTTAATTTTTAAAAAGAATCTTACGCGTCTATAATAGTTTCGAATTTTCATTTAAAAAAATGGCGCGCTAATGTATCAAAAAACAATTAGTAGATGAAATTTTACATTCAAAAATGCATTTTGAGTGTATCTACATATATGCCTCCGAGATATGGAATCTCTTAGAAAGATATAGAAATGGGCATGTTTACAGGCTTCCAAGACATGGTGCTTGTGTTTAATGACACCATATATTTACAGACTGAGTGAGTAAGATGTTCAAATGATCGAAGATGAATATGGGCTACTGGTAAATATCAAAGGAAAGATCATGTTTGGATATGGTCAGGGAAAAGAAAGTTTTAAAGATATAAAGGAAAACTCTCTGTATATGGAGGCAAAAGATTCTTTGTCTGATAGCTATCATATCTAACGTGTTTCATACATTACGGATATACATTATTAGTAAAAAATGCATATATATATATTTACATATATAACATATTTGATGACAGTGACAGAGGTATGGTATTCAGGTGTTACAAATGTGTCAGAGCCCCGTTTGGCTACTTGCACTCGCTGGTAGGGTTGGACTTTTGCAAGCATCGGGAGCCATTTGCACTTTTTTTTTATCAGAAAAAAGTGCCCAATACGGGAATCGAACCCGGATCGTAGCGGTCAAAAACAAACAGTTTAGACCATCCTTCAACCGACCCCCCCAAATAACATAATAAAGTTTCTATATTAAAATTGATTGGATTGAAAGATTGACTATAGTGTTTTGTTGTGATTGAGGATTTGTCTTTTGTAGCCAATTATTTAATTATTTTATATTGAATAAAGCGAATAGCTGTAGCTCTGTTAATTTACGGATTGTTCTCTATTTACAAAATAATAAAGTTTATAAAATTATATTTAAATTCATTAAACCACGATACATTTAAGGGGGTCGGTGAAAGGATGGTCTAAGCCATTGGGTTTCGACCGCTACGACCGGGATCTAATCCCGCATTGGGCACTTTTTTTCTGATTTGAAAAAAAATGCTTCAATGGCCCCCGATTCGTGCAAAAGTTCAACCCCAACAGCGAGTGCAAGTAACCAAACAAGGCTCTGGCATATTTGTAAGTGTAAAGTATAACTGCTTTTCACATGTGTAGATAAGTGGTGCACTTACAATAAAAGTAGTCGCCAACTTCTACTTAACAAGATTATCATAGCCTGTACCACGTATACTAGGGATACGCAAAAAACAAACAATACATTGAAACACACTGAAGTTCATATAAGCTTTTGTAAACACATAAATTATATTACATTTTATTTTTAAATGAATGAATGATCTAATATCAAGTTTATAAAAGTCTTTATAAATGCATTATATAGATATAATAAAGTTTTTAAAAGTATTTTAAATGTTGTAAATATAATTAATTTTATATATAAAAGTCTTTGCGATTTCATATGAAAATGTTATAGAGTTTATAAAAGTCTTTGTATATAAATACGGTCATATAATAATGGCTATTAAAGTTACATTAAAGAATTTCTACGAAGCCATTTAAACAACATGAAGCGATGTTTCCAACAAAGTGGAAATTTATTCCGTAGAAGATAGCGTTGTCTCGTAATGCACTCTGATAATAAATAAAGAATTCATCAACCTTATATTTTGAGAGTGGAATTTAAAAGAGTATTATGTATGTAGATCAGAAAAGTTAGCTAGTTTTATTCTGGATGTTTAAATTATTACAGCGTTTTTAAAATTGTTTTTTTGTTATTAGGGAAAATGATAAACTCTTTTTTTAGGTTTGAATTATTTTAACCTATATAATATAATATACACAGAACACTTACACAGAACACTCCCAGAACAAACTATACACAACATACACATAAAACACTTGAGACATATATACAACACACCTATCATACATAAGGAACACAACACACACATAATACATACAATACACACATGTTATATATACACAACACAAATATAAACATTACAAACAACACAGATATAACACACAGCAATAAAATAACAAACACAGTACATATTTGTTACATATACAACACATCCATAATACATATCTCACAACACAAACATAACACGCAAAATACACACTTATTACATAAACAGCAGACCCATTATACTAACACACAACACAAACATAATACAATGCTGAATAATAACACACACTTGTTACATATACAACACACCCACAATACATAACACACAACACAACCAAAACCTTCCTGGACCGGACCACGAGTCCAGCACTGCACCAAATAAACAACACAAACCTAACACCCAGCTCAAACATAACACGCAAAATACACACTTATTACATAAACAGCACACCCATAAAAACATAAAACACAAACATAAGACACATAATACACAACACAAACACAGCATAA